AAGGCGGCTGAGTTGGGCCGCGGGAGTTGGGCGGGAATGTGGAGGGGGTATACGCGACCCCGCCTGTCGAATTTGGAGCCGAGCGGGCCAGGATTGGCCGAGAACGACCGGGGCCGGGTTGGGGAGTAGGTTGGAAGCAGCGGGCGGGACGGCGGGGGCCAAGGGCTCGACCGTTCGGGCTGAAAATTTCAGCAGTTGTCGGGGCAATACGTTCGAGCTGAACGCTGCGTTTTGGCGGGCAACGAGCAAGAACTGGGGGCGGGGTAAACGGGGGAAGGTGGAAGGTGGTCGATTTGGCAAGTGGCGGCGGGCAGGAACGAAGCGGTGGTTGCCCGCGGTTTTCGCGCTATGGAGACCGATGCTAGAGCCCAGTATACTGCCGCAGTTTGGCGGGAATCGGCCCGGAATTGAGCTCGGGGTGGGCGGGACAAGTTTCAGCCCTTTGTGGGCGCTGTTTCGAACGACGCGGGAGAACGGCGGCAGCGGCGGGCTCGCGAGTGGACGCGATTTGAAGGGGAAGGGCGTCCCGGACGCTGTTCGGAAGATGGGGCGGAACGGTGGAGAACTGGGGGCTGGAGGTCGAGGACAAGTTTGGGTGAGTTGTCACCCACCTGCCGGATTTGAAGACTCACCTGCCTTTTCCAGCACCCATTCCCGCCCTCTACCTTCCTCTGCCCCCCCTCCCGACATCTCTCCCTCGCTCTCCCGCCCTTCTACGCGCCGCTACGCGCTCGTCGTCGCCCGTGGTGGTGGTTGAGAAGAGAGAAGGGTGGCGTGAGAGCCCGGCCTCGGTCGCCGATCCGGAACGCCGGGCTGGAGAAAATAGAGTGCGCGGGGGTGGTATGTGTGTTTGGGGGAGAGAGAACTGCCCGGGGATGTGGCGGGAAGGCGGGAGTGTGTGTGTGTGGGCGGTAGGTGGGCAGGCGCAATGAGCCGTGGTGGGAGACGCTTCAGCGCGTGGCTGGGCGGTGGCCTGTGTGCGGGGAAGGTGTGTGCGGGTGGGCGCGTTGGGGCCATCAGCTGTCAACCGAACATGTCGGGCTCGCGTGGTAGTGGGAGGTGCTGTTGCGGTAGAGGCCATCAGCTGTCAACCCTACATGTCCGGCTCGCATGGTAGTGGGAGGTGCGTTTGCGCAGATGCCCTCCCGCACACACGGAATTGGCTGAGCGGGCACCAACGCGTGGCAGGGAGGTGCGCTGTGCGTGTGTGCGCAGGGACGCCGCCGCTGCCGCGCAGGAGGAGGAAGAGAAAGCGGCGCCGGTGTATGCCGGAGACGGCCGGCGCTGTGCGCGCGAGGGGCGCAGGCGCAGGCGCAGGGGCCATCAGCTGTCAACCCTACATGTTCGGCTCCCGATCGATCGCTAGGTGTGGAGTGACTTGCCTGCGACGCGGGCGGAAGTGATCGGTGCGCTGTCACTGACATTTGCGTCGCTGACAGGCGCCGGCCAGAGACGTGATGGCGGGTCGGAATAGTACTAGAGTTCATTATTCTTGAGTGCCATTTAGGTACTCACACTGGCTGCTACCTAAATGAGTCTATCTCAAGCCAAAAATAAATATGTTGACCTGTAGTATCCTAGTGGTAGAGCAGTTAATCGTTATCTAGTCTTTTCCTGTATATATTTGTCAGCCTGATTATAAGCAGAACGACTGGATGCTATAAGAGAGAGAGAAAAAAATACTGATAATTCACTTGATAGGAATAGATTATCTCTGTGCCAACTTGGCTGCAGGCCTGTTACAAGCATTCAGATGACCTGGTAGGTTACTTTCAACTGTATGGTATATGGGCCCTGGAAAGTACAAATTGGTCTAAATATATAAATGGTAATGCACACTGAAATTGGCAAAGAGATATTATAGCAAATTGTGCTAACCAGGCAAATGTGGCTACTGCCATGGCAGAGTTACCTAACTGCATGGAATACGTGCTTTAGTCATGTCTGGTGATTTGCCACCGTCTCCTGAATAAGTACTAGTGTATTAAATATCAATGAGCAATGTGCAATAAAGTGTTGCATTATAAATTCACTAAAACACTAGGGATTACCCCGGGCTCTGTCAGCAATGTCACATGTGACCCTCTCATGATCATATCTGAGGTGTCTTCCCCAAAAAGGAAACAGAAACTAAGCACTCAATATACCAAAAATAATGTCTCCAAATATAATAGAGCAAGACCCACAAGAGCAAATGAGGTGACACGGGATGTGACGGATGTTGGTGGAAGGGTCGGAATATTCATTTCAGACATCCTGAGACAATTTGGATGATTTCTAATGCTTGGTCATAAGACCAGGTTAGCATTATTAAAATGTGGTTATGAATGCTTATACTAGGGCAACAGAGCGCCATATGATCGAATGAGAAATTCTGTAAACAAACAGAACATATCTGAGCCCTTCTACCCAAAAGTGAATGCTTGACTGTGCAGAATAAATTCAGGAAATATAATAGAGCAGTTTCACTATAGTATTGAGCAGCAGCAGGGTTTACGGTGCCACAACAGAGAGCAATATGACCATACAAAAAATGGAGGATGTTCAGGGATGGTATCTGAGCTCTGTTACTCAGAAAGGAAAGAAAAGTGCAGGCTTGTCCCTTGCAGAATAAGTTAGAGAAATTTAATATAGCAACCTCAGTAGTGGCAAGACTGGTGACAGGTGATGTGACAGATATAGGTGGAATTGTCGGAATATTTATTTCAGACATTCCGAGAAATTTTGGATCAATTCGGACACCCAGTGAATAGACTGGTTAGCATTTACTAGAAAGTACTAAGATATAGTTATCAATGCTTACACTGGGGCAATGAAGTGCCATATGGTCAAATAAAAGTTGAAATTGTAAACCAAATGACCATATCTGAGTTCTCCTACCCCAAAAGGAAAGGACAGTGTGTGTGCTTAACCTTGCAGAATTAAATGAGAGAAATATAATAGAGCAGCAGTGAGTAGGAGCAAGAGACAGGACTGGCAATATAACATATGTAGAGGGGATTGTTGGGAGATGTGCTATAAGCATACTGATAATCTCGTGTCACACTATGTTGTACAATTGTCACGAGTATCGTCTTTTCACTATAACATATGGCAGAAGGCATACAGTGCCACAGCAAAGGGCAATGTGACCATACAAAAAATGGAGGATGTTCAGTGATTGTATCTGAGCTCTTTTACCCAAAAGGGAAAGAAAAGTGCAGGCTCAACCCTTGCAGAATAAATTAGAGAAATATAATACAACAGGCTTGGTAGCAATAACCCAGGTGACAGGTGCGGTGACATATACAGATGGGAAGGCCGTAATATAATGTAGAATTGTTCTGACAAGTCCGGGGGATATAGTGAGTGCCTCTAGTCTCACAGGAATTATTTTATCAAGTTCACAATATTTTTATTGCTGTTAAGCAGAACAGGTGGCCAAATGTAAAAATGTTACATATTCAAATATACATATGATACAACCATCCTGATGAATATCGTCAAATACCACCCAGAGATACCCACATCAACTTTGATGTAAACGCTGGGAAATCCTTAGTTAAGGTGACTACACTCTGAAATATTGACTTCCATGAGTCCAGAACATTTGAATGAAAATCCTATCTAAAATGGTGCAAGGTACATGTCCAAGTACACTTCATCACTCAAATTTACAATCAAGTAATGACAAACAAGTGAACAGAAGGTCTACTACATAATGGAAGTGCACACTAGGTAGAGTGGTAAGCGCAGTCAGCTGGCAGTTATGCCCACCCTAAACGCCGCAGTTTTGTGCACAATGTAGCACGCAGCCGCCTGCCAGAATTGTGGAGACACCCAACGCAAGCCCCAAGACCAGATATAACAGCACATAGCACAGGACTGGACTCGGGAGATGACTGCCAATGTTTTCTTTGGGGAATACAGTGAGCGAGAGGGCATGCCGATGAGCAGAAAGGGATGGCCCACCGGCGTCTGTTCGATCGTGGAGACGTCCTGTACAAACCCCAGGACCAACTGAGAGGGAACGGTGTGTGCGTTTGCGCTGTAAATTGGACCGTCTGAGGAGACACCGTGTTCGCGCTGGACGCCGCAGTTTCATGCCGAACGGTGGGGAACTGAAGCGCGCATCGGCCGACACCGTGAATGAGCAGGGGGCGCATATGAGCTGGAAGGAAAGGCACTGGCGGCACCAGCCTCTTCTGGATAGTGGAAACACCCTGCACGAACCCCAGGACCGGATATGGAGGCAAACGGCGCCGAATTGAGCCCAGGAGACCAGTGCCGACGTGGGGGTAGGTGAAGCGGCAGCCAGGCGGCAAGAGAGAACGTTGAGGTCGTTCTGGCTCCAAATTTGACAGTTTGGCACAGCCCCCCGACCGCGCTGAATGCCGCAATTTGGCGCCAAACTGTCCAGAACTGAGCCCGTGCTGGCCGACACAGCAAGGAGGAAGGGTGCACCGATGAGCAGGAAGGGGCGGCGCTGGCGGCGCCGGCGCCTGTTAGATCGAGCGGGCATGCCATACGAGCCTCGAGACCGAGTTTGGGGTCGAACGCCGCAGAGCTGGGCCCAGGAGACGAGTGCCGACGCTTTGGCTAGGTGTGGGCGGCAATGTGGCGGCGTGAGACAACGGCGCGGCGGTTTGTGCCGCCGACTTGAACAGTTGGACGGGCACCTCGTTCGTGTCGAACTCCGCAATTTGGTGGGAAACGGCCCCGAATTGAGCGCGGGGTGACCCAGGGAAGTTGGGGCCACCCGAATTTGGGAAGTCTAGGGGCTTTTAGCTCGAGCCTCTGCTACCGCTTACTGCGGACATACTTACTTACCCAACAATTGAAACATGATGTACAGTTTCGCCTAAGAGGAGTGACGAGAATAAAAAACTCAAGCACTATTATTCGGCTCCCTTTTCAGGCCCGCAGCGACATCATAAACATGACCGCCACGACCAATACTATTACTATACTCTGGCACACGCTACACCAATAATAATTGAAAGATCTTTCGTGGTCATGGGCTACTCCCACTGGTGATGTACCCGCAGTTTAGCAAGCTGCTGTGGATTTCCGACGACCTCGACACCCCCTACGAGCCTGCGCAGCCCCCGGAGTGAGGTGGTTACTTTTTCCTCTGCCGACCAGCTCACAGCAATCTTGATCTCCGGGGCCCTGTTGCTCCCCTGGCCCTCAGGCTGCCGATTGATGCGCTCCGCAATCCAGCGGTGTATCGGAGCCATGGCGTCTCTGGACATCCCATGGACGCAGAGCTGCTTGAGGGCCGGCAGCAGCATGCCGGGGCGCTTCGCCTCGATGTCCTCGCAGCGCTCAAAGTCGGGCTTGGTGCTGCGCGGGCGGAGCTCCGTATCAGCATACTCGATCGTCACGCACCGCGCAAAGGGGAACAACAACAGGAAGTCGGCCATGCTGGATTCGCGCCACCCGCCGAACTCGACGTCGAGCAGCGTCACGTTCCCGATGCGGCACTGGGAGCGCTCGATGAGATGGCGAAATATGGTCACGTCATCGTCGTCGAGCTCCTGTGCAATCGTGAGCGAATGCAGGAGCGGCAGACAAAGATAGTTGAGGATGCTAAGGGGATCTGTGGAAGGGCCGTCGCAGGTGAGATTCTGAAGGTGGGCGAGCTCGAGCGGCTCTTCTGGAGCTGAAAACTGCTCGCTGTCTTCGAAGATATTAGCATTTGGGTTGAGGAGGGTCAGGGAGACAAGGCACGGCGTCGCCGTGAGCGCCTGAAGCGTGTCGTCGAGAGAACATTGGGAGATGCACAGCACTGTTACTGCTCTGAGCGCCGAAACCTTGATGACCGAAAGAATCGGGAAGGACATCCATAAGGTGGCGGCTGGTGTTATAGACAGATGTGTCAGCCGGGGGCATCGTTTGAATATGGACTCGGACTCCCCATTGCCAGTGGCAGTATCGGCCCGGGCAGACGCGGGAGGTTGGTAGATACAAACGTTGGACAGCGACAGGCGTTCCAGGATCAGAGGCTGATCGAAAACTCTTGAGTCTGGCGGCGGGATGAGGAAGAACAAATTCCCATTGGCAGGCCGGCGATAGGCACGGTAGTCGGACCCGACTGACGGGGAGATCCCCAGAGACACCCGGCGCCAACGAGACGCATGATGTGCAATAGCATCCATAACAGCTTCGTTAGAAGTGTTATCCACGTCGGGACGGAATAGGATGGAAATATCGAGGGGCAGCGCCCGCGACTTGGGCAGCCAAAGCGCCGCAAGAAGCTCCTCTGGCCAGCGGAGACGCACGCAGTCGAGAGCGATCCGGCTCCAAAGCGCGGCTTGGCCATGCGCAATGCGTCGCCATGCACGACACACACTGCCGATCGCAAGGAGGAAGCTCACGAGCTTGCTGTCGCCGGTGGATTTCGCTGCCCAGTGGAAAATTTCGCCCGTGACTTCCGGTGCAAGCGTGAGGACAGGGTAGACGAGCTGTGTCTCCAGCAAGGATATTTCGGTTTGCAGTGTCGCGGCCGCCTGATAGAGGTGTTCAAGCCGTCTCCGGATGTCTACGTTGCGCGAGGTAGGAGCCTGCGCCGTTGCGTGGCTCGTCGTCATCGTCGCCAAGAGCAAAGATCGGCCACGTCACATGCCCGCCAGCCAATCTTCCTTCTCTCTTTTCCACCACGACCATACCCACCATTTGCGACTCTTCCCCGCTTGGTGGCACTCGAGGTGCGCCGTTTGGGATTGGATGAAGCTGTGGAGGACGTCTAGTTTGACCTAACGGTGCGTCCTTTGTCGTTTGGCGCTTCCTGTCGCTGCTTGGCTGACCGTTCCGCTCAGCACGGGCCTGCGTGCGCTGCCTCCTGCGACGCCACTAGGAGGGAGGATGCTAGGGTGGAGGGAGCTGAATGCAAAGTGCTCAGAGCGGGACCGCGGGCCCGGACAAGAGTGTGTTATGATGCTTTTCATTCCGTCATGTGCTCACTAGTATCCTCAGGCGCAATCCGTTGCTCGGCATATCAGCACGACCTTCTACACACTCCCTATCTCCCCCCTCCGCCGCTCCCAGTCTCACGGGGCCTTGTCAGCCGCTCCCAGCTATACGATATGCCCTCGTAAATTTGGACGACCTCCTGTCGTTTCCACCTGCCACGTCGACACCCACTATCCCACCGTCCTTAACACCCATATCACCACCGGACGCCGAACTATACTGTACAGAGTATGCAGGGTGTGCATTGGCTGGAGGGCGCCCGCGAGGAAGGACCAACAGGTATGCCCGCTTGCTTGTCGATCTGTGCTGAGCACCTTGGCAGCTTCCATCCCTGCCCACGAAAACGATGCGACGGATGTCCTTCCCGTCAGGCTTCAGCTGGCCCTCGTCAACTTGGAGCAGACACAGAGGGGCGTGGGGACATACAAAGAGCGTAACAAGTCAGCAAGGTGCGCTATCCAGTCTACGCTGGTCTGCCGTGTTGGTACTAACCGTGTTTGCAGTCATTTTTGCTCCATGACTATCCTCCCCCTCGAGCTCCATTCGTTTTTTGTCTTGCACTGGCCATGCTTGACCGCGAGCTTATCGAAGTCATCCTCGTTTGGACGTGGGGGAACGCTTGCGCGGCTTGGCTGACAAGTTATGGTGAGAGCTTGACCAACATTCCACGCTACCTTTACTGATTCTGCTCAAGATCACAGCTATTACATCTGAGACATTCCTACTAATGATTAATATATCGTTTTGTTTTCCGCCTCTTCAATCTGGATCGAGGTGCGTGAAGCGTGGTCTTGCTACCTTCCTCCAAACTTACTATCTGGCTAGTTTTCGTCATTTAGACGCCTCCACGGTCTCGAAACACCTTCCTCGTTGACACAGGAAGTCGTCGGCGAAGACCACGCATTTCACTACCATCCACGACTATTTTCCCGGCGATACTCAGCCTTTCTCATCGCATAGAAATGTTCGCCAACTCGACTCGCTCTTCTGCCGCAATTTCGCTCCCAAACGCTCATCCGACAGCTCATCTTCTCTCCCCTTATTCATCGTCGAATACTTCCAAGTACTGCGCCAACCGTTCGCTGCCTTCGCCAAGACCTTGTGTTCTTGCGGCGGACATGGACCTATAGCCCTATCAAACGCATCTCATTCTTCCCCATCTGAAATCCGAGCTACTCGTCACTTTTCGCCCCGCAATCCGACGCAGAACACCATCGTTCAGCGGCTTCATGGTGCTGACTATTTGGACAGTATGGGACGAGGGGTAAGATATTGGTCGGCGTCGGCCGATATCCCGGGGGTGTGGACGACGGGAGTCGTGAAGCCCATATGCAGGCGTTCTGCTGCCTTATCTGTTGCCCATGGAGCTTTACAGCAGTTGCAAACGTCTGTCCCGCTTTCCGACCCTGCGCGTTATCTTCCACGGCACGATGTACTCCGATCATCGATATTCACTTAGCCCCTTCCTGCGCCAACGCCGTTCCGATCCTCTGTTAGACTACCTGCTAGTTTTTACATTGCTTCGTACTTTTACTCATAGTAAAACAGATGAAGTATATAGTAATGAGTACTAGTAACGGTACAAGAAACCCCGCAAGAATACATGCAGTGGTCCGTCGAAGGCGGCGTTGGAAAGATGAACGGGAATGCAGACGTCCCGGAAGAGCACACACCCTCCGCCCGTGTAAAAGCACCTTCCACACGCTCGCTGCCCTTCCTCAGGGCGGCGGAGGCCGGCGTGGCACGTAATCTGACCGTTTTTGGGAGGGATGGCCGAAACAGACGCAGATGGCGGAGGTGGCGAGCGCGGGCCGAGGAGATGGGGGGTGGAGATGGAAGAGGTGGATGGGAGGAGGTGCAATGGGTGTTTGGTGAGTTATATAGTTGTTTGGCCTTTCAATGGGTGGATTCAAGTCATAACGCGGCAGCATAGCTAGCCCAGGCTGGGCGTCGTCCGCCTCGAGGTCGGCGGGGGAGCAAATGCTTGACGCGGGTGAGGGGAGTTGGTCGTCCGTCGTTGGCTTGGCGCTGAAGAAGACTTCTCGCCTGCAGCCTTGTCCGCGACGACTCAATCTAAAAGCCCGACGATAATAAGCCAGTGCATTTGGGAGAGATGAAGTAACACACTCACAAGCTTGAGGCGCGAGTACAACTAAAGCAGCGGTGATTGCGGAGGGTACGGAAGTATCGTTTGGGGTCAAGTCTTATCGTTTGGGGTCAAGTCTGGTGTTGGGAACGTTAGAAGTGCTCGCAAGCAGCTGGGTGGTGCTACACACCTCTCTCTCGCTGACTGTAACTCCTCACATGCTGGCTCTCCCTCAGGCAGGAATTGGCTGCAAAATCGCGTCAGCTCAGCCAGAGTGGATGACAAGCAGACATACCCAGGCGGTTCTTCTCCTTCCCAAAGCTGTCTCGAGCGCTTTCAAGAGCGAGTATTGTCCGTCAACTCGGACGCGTCGAAGCTACTTCGTCTCAGTTGTTCTTGCAGGACACTGGCCCCGACACGATGGCTCTTCCTCCCAGCCCCAATGAGCTTGCACTTCCCACTCCTCTGGCCTAGCTCCTCGGTCCATTTGGGTAGCGCGCAGTACGGATGGCATAAACGGTGGCGTTTGGCGACAGCAAGACGACCGTGCAAAGCCAGAATAGCTGTATCGAAAAACGAGCGCAGGGGGTGTAGCAGTGGAGACGAATATCTGCATGAGACGGTGAGAGGAGGGCGAAAATGCAGTGGAAAAGGCGCACCTTAGAACCAGCCTCTTCCAATGCTTCCAAGACCTCACTACTAGTGCTCTGCCGGGCCACTGCCGTCCCATCGTGTCGCCCTTCAATCGTCCGCCAGCTCTAACATTCGTTTGCGACCAGCGCTTGGATGGATATTGAGGTTGTAACGAGCGGGGATGGCGTGGATGGTGGAAAGAAGCAAGAATGGCAACGCGTGACCATCCTCCTTTGAGGCTTTGACGTCGACCCAAACTCCGACATGCGAGCAACGCCTGGGCGGACAGCAAGCCGGCCAAGCATACGCAAAAGGGGCATGTCGTCCCACGGAGTGGCAAGCGGTACCAGAAAGAGAGACGCAGGTAGATGACAATGGTAAACGGATATGAGAGTCGGGGAGAGGTGGAGAAGAGAGAAGTGGCGTTCGGCCCGATGACATGTGACCCCGCCGATCTTGACTCCGCACTCCGATGAGCCGCAAGACCGCTCGCTCAACCGCCTTGTAATCGACATAAGGAGACCTGCGACGGTTCTCTCATGCCCCTTGTAGCCAGCTGGGATGCGCGAATGGCGCCACGTGTGTTTTTCATTCCGTCTTTGGTGGCTGCTGCTCAAACGCGACATCTTTATAGGACAAGCTCGGAAGTCGTCGCTGGCGGACAGGACGTGATACTGAGGGATGGCGGAGGGGATTGGATAGCGCGTTGAGCTGGGGCGCAACGTGTAATAGCTGGTAAACGGCGCGTCAACCGCCATCTCCACTTGTCAGTGTCGGCTGACCATTTCTCTGGGTGCAGACTCTCGTTAGAAACCGTCTCTTTTACACTGGTTGCTTTGGATAAGGCTCTTGGTCAAGCCAAGCCAGCTATCCCTCCTACCCAGCGCCAGCGCCACCGTCGTCGACGCCTGCCAACAATCCTTTTCAAGCCATATGCTTACCAAGTTTCACAACGACACCGACCGGCCAAGCCCCTCATAAATCCACTTCTCTCCCGCTCGTTCTTTGCGCCCTCCCTTGAAATACACATCCCCGTTCAAATATCTCCAAGTAAAACGAGGTGAGGTCGGCGTTTCGCAAAACTGACATAACACCTACCCACCGATGCCATGGAGTCGTCTCCGCGACGATAACGGCTGCACTCATTTATATGCGCGATTCAAATTCACAGTGGCGCCTTCAATCACTCAGCAACAAACCTTCTCGAAGGCCAGCGGATTCGGATAGCTATGCTGCGACTGTAACGTGCGAAAGGCGTAGGGATACGGTGCGTAAATGCGCTCCCCGTTCTCCCTGGCGCTGACCAGTGTTTGCACCTTCAAACTCCCTGCTTCAATCGCCACGTTTTGCAGCCCACGTCCTGAGACCGCGAGCTCAATGCTCATTCTTCTTATGCTCCTGGCAGCCTCCTGCATATCGCTATTCGTGTCCCAAAGCAGGAGCGACGCGGAACGCGGCGCTGGGAGAAAGGAACCAGGCACAATCATGATGAGGGAATGTGCGTTATCGTGGTGCTGCATTCCGAGTCGTGTTTGTGCTTACCATGGCTTGCAGCCCTGCGTCTTTTTCCATTGCTTTTCACCAAGTCTGCCGTTGCCATTGGTGCTTGGGAATCACCGTCGTGGAGACTTGGAGCAACTGGAGAAGTGTTTCGTGTTTGGGAGGTACTTGCAAACGAGACGGAGATGAGGTGGTTGCTGCGCCGATGTGGGTCTGGCGTGAGTCTTTTTCTCTCGCGCGACAATGCTTGGGGCCTCATTGTCCCTGTGCTTTTGCCTGCATGGACAATACTACGTCGCTGCAAACACTATTTGTCGTCATTCGACGGAATTATATCTGGTCTTTTGAATGCAAACTGTGCAAAGTTCGTCTTGTCCGTAATTTTTCTCTGATTACAGG